AATTGAAGAGTTTGAGCAGCAGTACCCGATCCACGGCTCTTCCTATGATGCTTTCGTGGACGCCCGGAAGGCCATGCAGTCCAAAAACCAACGCGTCAAATCTCCCTACACCATCTCAGTGTGGGAGCAGATCTCTCTGTGCACTGTTCGTGGCTTCCAACGTCTCAAGGGAGACTCCAGTTTAACTGTCAGTGCCTTGATTGGTAACTTTATTATTGCCTTGATTGTGGCGTCGGTTTTCTACAACCTCCCGGATACAACGGCCAGCTTTTACTCCCGTGGAGCTCTGTTGTTCTATGCAGTTCTCTTGAATGCCTTCTCCAGTGCGCTCGAAATTTTGACACTCTATGCTCAACGTCCGATCGTCGAAAAGCAGGCAAGATATGCATTCTATCATCCTTTCACGGAAGCCGTGGCTTCCATGCTGTGTGATACACCTTATAAGCTCATCAACTCAATCACGTTCAACCTTCCCTTGTACTTTATGACGAACTTGCGTCGCACTGCTGGTGCCTGGTGGACATTTTGGATCTTTTCAGTTGTCACTACATACACCATGTCCATGATCTTCAGAACTATGGCCTCCACCTCACGATCTCTCTCGCAAGCACTTGTGCCTGCGGCTCTTTTAATTCTGGGAATGGTCATTTACACAGGTTTTGTGATTCCCACTCGCAATATGCTTGGTTGGTCCCGTTGGATGAATTATATCAACCCGATCGCCTACTCCTTCGAAAGTTTCATGGTCAATGAGTTTTCTGGTCGCCATTTTACATGTTCCAGCATTGTTCCTTCTGGCGATGGGTATGACTCCATATCCTTGGACTACAGGATTTGCTCCACAGTCGGTTCCACGGCCGGATCGGCGATCGTGGACGGAACTTCCTACCTGAAACAAAGTTTCGAATACACCAAAGGACATGAATGGCGCAACATTGGAATCTTGATCGCCTTCATGGTATTCTTCTGTTTTGTCTACCTTGCTAGCACCGAATATATCTCCGAGGCAAAGTCCAAGGGTGAAGTCCTCTTGTTCCGTCGCGGCCACCAGCCAAAGCTTGGCGAAGCCGACATGGAATCTTCAGCTACCCCTGGTGGTGCTGTCAAAGGCGACGCTCCCGCCCAGGGCTCGGAAGTTCGCATTCAGAAGCAAACGGCTATCTTCCATTGGCAAGATGTGTGTTACGACATCAAGATCAAGGGTGAACCTAGACGCATCTTGGATCATGTTGACGGCTGGGTGAAGCCCGGGACTTGCACCGCCCTGATGGGTGTGTCGGGAGCCGGTAAGACGACATTGCTCGATGTCCTGGCCACGCGTGTCACGATGGGAGTTGTCACGGGAGAGATGCTCGTCGATGGACGGCCACGCGACCAGTCATTCCAACGCAAAACCGGCTATGTACAACAACAGGATCTGCATCTACCTACTTCTACCGTTCGCGAGGCTCTCCGGTTCAGTGCTTTGCTGCGTCAGCCGGCCCATGTTAGCCGAGAGGAGAAACTGGACTACGTTGAGGAGGTGATCAAACTCCTGGGCATGGAGCCTTACGCGGATGCGATCGTTGGTGTGCCCGGAGAGGGATTGAACGTGGAGCAACGCAAGCGACTGACGATTGGTGTCGAACTTGCTGCCAAGCCGCAGTTGTTGCTTTTCCTGGATGAACCTACTTCTGGTCTTGACAGTCAGACTTCATGGTCAATCCTCGATCTTATTGATACACTTACTAAACATGGACAAGCCATTCTTTGCACCATCCACCAGCCTTCTGCCATGTTGTTCCAGCGCTTTGACCGATTGCTCTTCTTGGCGCGTGGCGGAAAGACGATCTATTTTGGTGAAATCGGCGAGAATTCCAACACACTGTCCAGCTACTTCGAACGCAACGGCGCCCATCCATTGGCCGAGGGAGAAAACCCGGCAGAGTGGATGCTTGACGTTATTGGGGCAGCACCAGGTTCTCACACAGACATAGATTGGCCAAAAGTATGGAGGGAAAGTCCTGAACATACGAAAGTCAAGGAGCACCTTGCAGAACTGAAATCGACCCTATCTACCAAACCCGAGGACAACTCCGACCCGGAAGCTTTCAAGGAATACGCAGCAGGCTTTGGTGTCCAGCTTTATGAATGCTTGCTTCGTGTCTTTGCCCAATATTACCGCACACCAAGCTATATCTGGTCGAAGACTATTCTCTGTGTTCTGTCCGCCCTCTACATTGGATTTTCGTTCTTCCACGCTCCCAACTCTCTCCAGGGCATGCAAAACCAGATGTTCAGTGTGTTCATGTTGATGACTATCTTTGGTAACCTGTGCCAACAGATCATGCCACACTTTGTCACTCAGAGATCACTCTACGAAGTCCGAGAACGCCCATCCAAGACCTATTCCTGGCAGGCATTCATGACGGCCAATATTTTCGTGGAACTGCCATGGAATACCCTGATGGCCGTTCTCATGTTCGTCTGTTGGTACTACCCGATCGGATTATATAACAACGCGAAGCCCACTGATTCCGTCAATGAACGGGCCGGTCTCATGTTCCTGCTTATTTGGGTCTTCCTTCTCTTTACGTCGACCTTCGCCCACATGGTGATTGCTGGAATCGAGCTTGCAGAGACAGGAGGTAATATCGCGACGTTGTTATTCTCCCTTTGCCTGATCTTCTGTGGTGTTCTTGCGACTCCATCCAACATGCCTGGATTCTGGATCTTCATGTACCGGGTGTCCCCGTTCACATACCTGGTATCTGCTATGCTCTCAACAGGCCTTTCCGGCACTACCGTGACATGCGAGGCCGTCGAGTATCTGTCATTTAATACGCCTGAAAACCAGACATGTCAGGATTATATGTCATCGTATATCAGCGCCAATGGGGGTTACCTGTTGAACCCATCAGCCACATCAGACTGCCAATTCTGTACTATGAACAGCACGGATACCTTCCTTGCTTCAGTGGTTAGTTACTTCTCGGATGCTTGGCGCAACTTTGGCTTGATGTGGGTGTATATCGCCTTCAACATTGTCGCGGCGGTGGGTATCTACTGGTTGGCTCGTGTGCCGAAGGGCAAGATGGTGGCTAAGTGATCTGTGTACGTCGTGTCATCCTAGCTGCATGATGGCAGTTCGGGACTCCTTTTACCCTTCAACATCATATATTTCCAATTACAATTTCTTTCAACTTCACTGTTCATTGTTTATTGTACGATCTTCAGAAGATTGTCCATATTACTTTTCTCTTCGTGTCGCTCGTTTTCCAGCTGACTGTCCTGAGACGTACTTCTTGGACACTCACTGGACACTCCGTTTTTTGTTGATTTCGATTCTGTTCTGCTGTATACTTTCTCTTTCTTCAACAGTTGTACAGATAGAGCTATACACTATTAGACTTAGACTGCAACAGCAATAATCAAATTTGGCTTATATTATCACCCGTTCCAGTGCTTGGGTTGCATGAACTGATTACATTATAAAAATTTCATAGCATATAGTAGGCATCGCCCAACATTTCCAATTCAAGACTACCCATCACAAACACAGACCTTATCGCATTCTCCGAAACCACAAGACTTCTATTCGATAAGACGAAATCTTCAGTTGTTTCCCGATGCCGTCCGTCATGTCGGACGATAAGCATATTGCCGACCAGTAAGTCCTCTATAATAGTAGACTATCGCTTTCCATCCCGTTATCAGTAACATCTATATTAATGATACCCTAGTCAAAAGAAGTACTGACTATGTGTAGTTGACATAGGATTTTACCACTGTCTACTATTAGCCTGAAGTATGAATGAACAATATAACAACCTCACTTAGGTTAGTACGTGCAGTTCCGAAACATACTGGATGTCTATATGGATTTAACCCGAATAAGCGATCCGAAGTCAATAATGGAAGGCAGCAGAACGAGAAGGGTTACTCCGGGCGCAAGGTAGCAGGGACGGGTATGCTTTGAACAATCTGAGTCGCGACGTTTACAACATGAAGATGAAGAGGATAGGAATGTATCTGGTCAGGCAATTCAGTTATCTAGTATTGAAGGCACACATTCTTGCTAAGATAGGCTGCAGAGGATAGATCACCCCGTTACTAAAGGGATAGCAGGCTCCAGAATTCTAACTAGGGTGAAAATGGAATAATTTCCATGTTGATCAGAGTGCATGTGACCGGACAGAATATGAATAAAGGGGGGAGACAAAGTGTAGTGATTGTGAAGAGCAATTCGTGAAAATGCGCCCTATGTTGTCATCCGGGGTATTAAAGCAATGCTGCTCACCTATATGGCTCTAAATCGTAAGCTCTGGGTCTCTGCAGAGTGCAGATACAAGAGGGGTACTAGAGTGGTTGAAGGATGCTAATAGGACTAAATATAGTTTGGAACCATGGTATTTTCAGGAAACTTTGATATATGGATATCCCAAGTCCTAACAGCCTCGATTCTGCCATTCTGTGTAAGTGTGTATGCAATGTCTGAAAGCGGGTGGGGCGGCCGAAAATTCTCCGCCAAACCGCCGAATCACCCTTTCGCTAGAACCACGATCATCGCGAACGGACCGAAATAGGCAAAAATTTCGAGATGGGTGGAGTACCCCAAGGCAACGGCGTTACCCGTTTGTCTCACTTTATCAATGAGTATCTAATAACGGAAAACAAGATTGAAACATGTGGCATTTTGTGGAGTACGAGGCTAACCGGGAAGTGATACATGGGGTTATGGCAATCTAATCCTTTCAGGGAAAGCAGGTTTCCTACTTGGGCCAGATCGCGAACCCTGGCACTTGTTGATCTTCTTCGGAGTCGAAGATTACTTCAACTGATTTGGCGGTTCTCATTGCTTCCAAACGGGCATATGCTATAAATGCGGGCCTGATGGATTGTCCTGGTGCTAAGTCTGGTGCGATACTTATACCTCTTTCATGTAAATCAAGAAATCGTTCGTCGCCAGTATATCCTGGATTGCAGATCGATTTTGTCATTGGCACCGTTGATCCTCCAAAATGACTTCTTTTGAAGAGAAAGTAAACTTGCTCCGTCAGTCATCTGAGAATGGCAGGAAGCCCCTACCACGGATGACACTAGGGGCTATCAATAGTGATGGTATGATCCTAGAAAACTGCTATTGTCTACCCTCCCTCCAAATACGTGCTGCTTGCTAACATCATACAAAACCAAGGCTCCTTGCACTATGCTAAGACATTTGGAGAGAGTTCGTTAGACTCTACTGATACTGACGCCGTACATTGGGTGGCCTCTTGTACCAAGCTGGTGACTACCATTGCGGCAATGCAGTGTGTCGAGCGCGGTCTGCTAGATTTGGATGGGAATATCGCTAATGTGTTACCGGAGTGGGCAAGTCCTCAAATCCTGACGGGCTTCGATGCGAACGATAATCCCATCTTTCGGGCAGCCACCAAACCTGTTACCCTACGGTATTTCGTACTCTTCCTAATTTGAATGAATGTAGGATCCAGGTGTACTAACTGCTAAAAGGCGCATGTTAACCCACTCCAGTGGTATGGGTTACTTCCACATGGATTCTCTGATGACACGCTATCACGAACAGCAGGGAAGCCCTCCTCTGGTCCAAACATTTCGCCAATACCAATTCTTATATTTTGAACCGGGTGAACGATGGATGTATTCACCTGGCATTGACTGGGCAGGAGTAGCAGTAAGTTCTGACGTCTTAATCATTCATGAATTAGGCCAATTGACAATGCATGGTTCAACAAGGTCGAGCGAGCTACTTCTATGAAGCTGGGCGACTACTTGCAGCGCCATGTTTTCGACATTGTTTCCGTCAAGGATGCGCCATTTCACCTAGAGCAGAGAGAAGATCTACGGGCCCGTAAAGTCAAAGCTTGGCTGCGCACAGATCATGGCCTGGAAGAAGAGAAGAATCAGATCTTCCCCGACCCCATTGTGGAAGACGTAGGAGGTGGTGGTCTATACACAACCGTGAACGAGATGCTTAAGATTTGTCAAGGTATACTTACAGCACAATTTCTGCGTCCTGAGACCATTGAAGAGATGTTCCAACCTCATCTGGAGAGTGCTTCTGGCCTTGAGCAACCGGAAGATTATTCGTTCGCGCCGCACAATGCCATATGAAATGCTATCCCACATGACATACCGGTGGATTTTGGGATCGGTGGTCTGCTGAATAAAGCTAGGATCCCGCAGCGTCGAGAAGTAAATTCGCTCTCATGGTCGGGGAAACCAAATTGCTACTGGGTTGGACCTATAAGTAACCCATCGTAGTTGACTAACGTACCTTAGTGGATAGACATTAAGAGAGGGGTTGCTGGGATATATCTTTCCCAGCTTTTACCGACCGGAGATCAAAGTGCTATCGAACTGCTAAATGAGTTCGAAAGATGAGTGTACTCGCGTTTAGATAATCGGGATGGCACAGCAAAGCAGAAAACAGCTTTATGATCTTGAATACAGTAGGTTCGGAGTTTAGTATGGCAAATTTAAGAGGAAGCTTTATCATGTAATCAGATAAATCGGATTAGAAGATCCGCCATGACTTCGAATCACTTACTTATATTAGGAATTGTTTCCTAATTCTGCTTATCATATTTTAAGATATATAACAGGAATCTCCGAGGTATTAATTTAGGAAAGCTCCAGAATGAAGAGGATCAGATTTCTTATTGTTTTATTTTATTGATTTATTTACTGTTTGTCATTTTTTCCTCATTAGTACCATTGTGTATCCCCTGTAGAGGTTGGAGTTGATTCATACATTTATTTTTGCTTGACTAGCATTTGCTTTAGAGTATCACATGGTTGAGTTAATTTCGAGTCACGGTGTTTCTAAACCTATCTAGATAAGTTTTGTTGTTCCAGTCTGACACTGCCCCGCTAACTCCTGAACCTGTCGCGGGCGGGTGCCCAGCACACTACATTCGTGGTCGTCTCAAACGTACCAAGCATTTGGAGGGCATCCATTCTTGGCGGCTTTACCCTTTGAGGCGTCGGCGTGTTACTCTATTTTTGTAATACCGAGCGATGGATGCTCCCAAGTTACACCTGGCCTAGGACTGAGATTGTAATAAGGCACGACACAACTCGTTCTCATATACCAGGGCACCTGTAATTATTCTAAGAGCGCCAAATATGCGTTCCATGAACTTTTATCTAGCCTTCCCTCTTACATAAAGTAGAATATGTCATCCATGGGCCTTGGCTAGATCTAAAACAGCGGAAGTAACCTTGTCAGGGCACGATGAACTACGAGCGGGTCACGAAATCAGCCTCGCCGTCTTCTTTACTGCTTTGGGCAGTTGAGGGTAGAAGTATTTTTGTAATCCAATCAAACAGATTCTATGAATCTTAGAGTATCACTTGTCTTACACCTTATGACGGATATCTTTTCTCCGTGAATTCACCGAAGATGAAAGGCCGTTTATGATGCACATACTAAAGGCCTTGGCCTTCTTAATCTATTATAAGCTGATCGGAGTGAGTTGGCAATCGGCGATGGGTTGGATGGCCCACCTCACAACTGCAGGTATGGAGGGAATAACACGGCCATGAAGACGAAAATGAAACATGGGGTTGGAGTTGATTTTTCTGAGCTGGAGCACCTCAAAGCATCCGGCACCTTGTTTAAGCAATGAATACCGGTGTCAGAACCTTAGCATGGCATAACTATCTGTCAGGGCCCGAAAAAAGCGCAAGGACCATGAAGCGAGGCACTAGCCTCTTAAAGACGCAATTCAGATACGGGGCACAAGCAAACCCATACAATGCTGCCCAGGCAGCCACAATATTAGTCAAAGATGGCTGTGTATATCCACTTTGGCAATGTGGTCCCTGCTCCAGGCTATCATTTACGGGTCCTAAGTGGCCAGTGCTCAGCTGAGAGAGCCCTATCTTCCGTATTCGTATTTGACCTCGGCAGGATGTTACTTTGGTGCACCCTGAAACAAAGAATATCCAGGAGAACAACACAAACGGCGGAAAGTATATACAGAGCCCTGAAAAGGAAGAAGAAAAAAGAAATAGGGGCGACTGCTGTGCTGTGTCATTAAAGAGACAGACGTGCTCCAGGAGGATTGGACGTAGCTTTTCTTGCTCCACAGTGCTCTTTTCAAGAATCTTGACAACTACAAACATCGTCACACCTGCAAGCACATAATGGCGATGCTTAATCTGGTCTTTTCTGCTTCTTACCTCTATATATTTGGTACTATATTTTTTGACATAGTTCACTTTCTCCTGCACAAATGCTCGAGATCTCGCTGGCGAATCCTCCGCTTTCTTTCCCGCTGTCACCAGTATCATCACCTCTACTACCCCCGATCTCTTCAATTCAATCAGCGATACGCCAAACCAAATGCCTTGATTGCTCTTCCTCTCGAGCTAATATGTCAGTTGCTCGGAAGCATCATCGGCTGGATCCTTGCTACCACCCTGAATTGTTATATTAAACGTCTCGATTCGAAGGCCCTTTCTATCGTCCTCGTCGTACAAACCGTTCGATCTCTTTTGGTCATTATTAGTAACGGCCAGGACTCCAATCATATCGCACTTGACAAAGTACCCAAAGATCATAGCTGGGCATTTGTGGGACCGGAGTACCACTCCTTGCACCATATCTACCCAGATCGGTATATGGGGTCTATGGTGAAGCTGTTCGACTGGATTGCGGGTACTGCATACGCGCTGAAGAACAAGACGGTGGTCATGACGGGTGGATCGGGGGCATTTGGACAAGCGATGGAGAAGCAATTACTCGCCGAAGGGGTCAAAAGCATACACAAGTTGCAGTTCGGCAGAGACTGGGACAATGGGAACTTCTCGCGTGTCGGTACCATCTTTCGAGAGGCAGATATCATCATTCTCGCCCACGGAACCAAAGGTCCAGATTCCATGGACTCAAACTGCATGTCATCAGTTCGTTTGATTGAGCTGTTCATGCAACAAAAGTCCGCACAGTCTCAGAGAACCAAGGTTCTACCTGAAATCTGGTACGTCGGAAGCGAAGCAGAACTTCATCCTGCTTGGGGTGGGCCTGAGATGGTACGATACACTGCGTCAAAGAGAGCATTCTTACCCTACGCTCGTGCTCTGTACAAGTCAGACAAGGTAATATATCGACATATCGTCCCTGCAGCATTCGATTCTCGTATGGGAAATGCAATTGTGTCGGCTGACTGGGCTGCGCGGTGCACAATGTCGTGGATCAGACGGGGAGCTTATTATATCCCAGTCACATATACGGGGCTTGCATATCTGCACTTTTTGAAGTTTTTGTTTGGGCCCTCGGCAGATCCGACATGGGTAAGATAGGAGAATTCTAGGGGGTTGCATTTCTTGAATGGGTATATTTAACCTTTCTTTTGGTTTTTTTTTTTTTTTTTTTCTTTTTCTTTTCTCCGTGTATGTAAGCGAGCTGCTCCAAGGTTTTCGGCGTATAGAATACTTGAGGCGTTGTACATGTTATATATAAGATTTGGGATGTACTTTAGACCGATATGGCCGTCCCAGGTGCACTGAGGCGGCCCCTGTGTGATACCCCTTATTGATTCTTCCGCCGACCACATCAATACATCAATAGAAACAACGTGATTTCACCTACAGTCCATCATCCGTTCAAATAAAAAGCAAAGAATGGAAACAAAAACATACAACAGAAGGGATTCGCTGGTGGTCACCCACCCAACTACTAACCTCCCGGCGTGTGGCTTAAGTACGGCTGAGCGGACGGGAAGCCCTGTTTTCCACACCCTGTGGTCGTATGTACTTGATAGATCCATAGCAATCAGTGATATACGGCCGAGAATGAGTAACAATCTCCAACAATATGATTCTGTTCATGCAACATCGTACTCCGAGGGCCTCTGTCAGGCACAAATGTGCAGGTTGGCAGTCGTCGTGGCCGCAAGGCAGGAAGACACCCCAGCTTCTGTAATCAGAAGCAGCCAGTCAAATTCCGACGATAAGATTAGCCTGGGGGAAAGGCGCAATCCAGAGCCGCGCTAATAGACTAACTCGCTGCTGCGCCTTCTCCATATAGGGCATAGTTGCATGCGCCGGCGTATATAAAACAACCGAACCTGCCACTACCGACTGACTGGCCCCCGAATAGCACCTTGTTTTTTTCTTTCATCACCTGTACTGCCCATACTATATCCACAGAATGCCAACAGAAGCTTTCCACCACCTCAGTCGTGCTCATTTTACAATCGCAATTATATGCCCGCTTCCCCTGGAGGCAGAAGTGGCGATACCGCTGTTTGACACGGTCTACGATAGAACTGTCTATGAAAAATACGGTCCTGTACGAAATGACCCCAACCACTATACGCTGGGCCGCATTGGCTGTTACAATGTGGTTCTGGCCCACATGGGTGGTTGTGGGAAAGCCGAATCGTCCAGCGTGGCCAGTAATATCAAACAAAGCTACCCGGGCATCGAACTGGCCCTTTTAATAGGGATCTGTGGAGGAGTGCCTTACAGGACGGACGTGGGTCCAACACAACGCAGGAGAGATGTTTTCCTCGGCGATGTGATAATTAGCAGCGCGATTATTCAATATGATTTGGGGAAAAGACTTCCGCACCGATTTGTGCGCAAGAATACGTTAGAGTCCAATTTAGGGCGAGCGAGTCTGCAGATCCGATCATTCATGACCTGCTTAGAGTCGCGTCATGGCGACCTCTCCAAAGACCAACAGGGGCATCTTCAGACTATACAAGGTAGCAAGGATGTGCCATATCCTGGTATCAAAAGCGATATCCTATTTAAAGCTGAATACAAGCATCGCGTACGCTGTCTGTGTATGAGTGATGCCAGCGGGGACCAAAGTGTCGTGGACCGCCGTCGTGTGGACTCTGATGGGACTCCGTATATCCATATTGGCCGGCTTGCCTCTGGAGATACTGTGATGTGCTCTGCCAAGGATCGAGACAAGATTTCCAAGCGCGAGGAAGTTCTTGGTTTTGAGATGGAAGGGGCTGGCGTATGGGACAATATCCCTTGCATCCTGATCAAAGGAGTAAGCGACTACGCTGATAGCCATAAGAATGATACTTGGCAATACTTCGCAGCTGCGAGTGCAGTGGCTTGCATGCGTGCTCTCCTGGATCAGAATCCCATTCCGAATGTGACATCATCAGCGGGCCTGGCCCAGGGTATGTAAGCAACTATTGTGTTCATAGCTTCCATTAGGTTCTTTTAGCTGTGTACTTTACTGAGCGTCAATTGATTACCCTCCAGATATTATTGCCTCCCAGTTAAATCCGCGAAAAAGACCCGCAGAGACTTCTGAAGACTCCAGTAACGAACGGGAAAAGGCGTGCCTTGATCTGTTAACTTTCCCCCAAGCCGAGTATCGCCTGGACGAGATTATGGATCCCCTCAATACGACATGCACTTGGGTATTAGAACGACCAGAATATAAGACATGGATGAGCGGGGAGGATTTAAAAAGTCACGGAGGATTTTTCTGGATCAAAGGGAAGCCCGGAGCCGGGAAGTCGACGCTCATGAAACACCTTCTTCCAAACTGGAAAAGACACAATCATCTCCTCTTTCTTTTTCCATGCCCAAGGGGTGGACTTAGAGAGGTCCACTGTGGGTATGTATCGCTCACTCTTGCATCAGCTTCTCTCGTCTACTGCCGTTCCATCGAGTGCCAAACAGCCCTACTTTAGCTTCGCAGCGAAGATGCTAAGTCAAGATGACGGCATAAATTGGACAATCCGAGACTGAAACATCAGCTGTTATCACTCATCCGATTGCTGAACAACCGCTACGTGTTCTTCTTTATTGATGCTCTGGACGAATGCGACCAAGCCGAGATGGAGGACATGATACCGTTCCTCGAGCACTTGGGGCACTCTTTGAATGCATGCGATGTTCATTTGAGAATCTGTCTGGCAAGCCGACACTATCCACAACTCAATATTGAACGTGGCATTGAGTGGGTCTTGGAGTACCAGCAGGAGCATCAAGGCGACATGCGGAAGTACGTTGAGACGAAATTGAAAGGGGGCAAGTCAAAAATGCTCCAAGAGATTAGAAAAGAAGTGTGCGCCCGAGCATCCGGTGTATTTCTCTGGGTTATACTTGTAGTTCGATCGCTAAATGATGCGTTCGCCAAGGGCAAAATCCACGCCGTACGTCAACGGCTGGATGAAATCCCAGACGGGCTTGATGAGCTTTTCACCGATATGCTGACCAGAGACACTGAGGAAATTGATGACCTTATCTTTTGTCTTCGACTCATCTTGTTTGCACAACGTCCATTGTCCAAGGATGAGTTCTACTTCGGGGTGATGTTTACCAAAAACGGCTTGATCAAAAGAGAAGGCGAATGGCACATTGATCCGCACATTGAGAACTTCATCCTCAACGTCTCCAAAGGCCTCGCGGAAATTACCCGCACCAAAGCTCGCATAGTACATTTCATTCACGAGTCAGTGCGAGATTTTCTACTACGACGGGACGGTTTTAGCAGACTCCAGGCTGGGTCGAGCGCGAACACAATCGGGAACGCCCATAACGAGCTTGCAAAAATCTGCTTTCGATACATCTGTGAATACAAGCTCGTGGCCGCAAATGGCGTTCCAAGACGCTATGAATGGCTACGCTCAGCCAAGAGCTGGTATCTGAATTCAGAACACCCTTTCCTCAATTATGCTATCCATAGCCTCCTGCCTCACAGCAATGCGGCTGAGGCTGGAGGCATTTCGCAAGCTGCCTTCCTGCAAAAGTTCTCTTTGTCATTCCAGGACTTCAAGGACATCCGCAATGCCCTTGAGCAATGTCTCATTCGTCATTATGGACCCGAGGTGACGGCTCTATACGTTCTAGCAGAATTGAACTTGGACCACCTCATCCGCCTGGAACTTCTACGTACGCCACAGATGTGGAAGCAAATGGGAAGGTATCACAGCCCAATGGGTGCGGCTGTCTACTTGGGTAACACACTTGCAATCAGGGCCTTACTTGGTTGCAATACGAGTTCAGATGCCTCTGTCGACAACTCCTTGCTTGAGGCTGGGGTTATTGATCGTATGAAACAATATGTGGTCAACAGCAAGCGAATCAAGATGAAAAGAGGTTCTATGGCTTTGTATCTGGTGGAGTACGCTATTAAACGTGGTCATGTAGCCATATTAAAGCTCCTCTACCTCACGGGCAAAATCGATCTGAACCATAAGCTCAACTGTCGTTCGCTACCGCTTATCTGTGCGATTAAGTGTTCCAAGGCAGAAATCGTGGAATTTTTGCTCAGCTGTGATAGAGTCACTATTGCCAGCCCCACAAACGCTTTGCGTATTGCGATCATTCGAGGTATAAGGGATATTTGCAGTGCCCTACTTTCCTCCCCATACAGTCTTCGTTGGTTGGACTCCTACGGGGGAGTTGCCATCCAGTGGGCAGTAATTGGAAACAACGGGTCTACAATGAGACATCTCCTTGAGCTTGGTTGCGACGTAACGCTACGCGATAGAGATGGTCGAGATGCTTTGTCACATGCCGCCGAACAAGGCAAAATTGAGATGATGAAAATCCTAATTGAGAGCGGGGTTGTCGATATAGATGGGAAAGACAGTCAGGGAAGGACGGCTTTATCATGGGCCGCAGGACCACACAAAACAATGCTCTATCGTTCGCCTGACCCAAACATATGTTGGGATCAATTGCAAAAGGAAGTCATGTATGTGCTACTCAGCACGGGAAGAGTTGATGTGAACTCCAGAGACAAACATCAATGGACGCCCTTATTATGGGCCGTCCAGAGAAATAAACCAGTGGCAGTGGACATTCTTCTTGAGGCCTCAGAAACTGAGATTGACTGTAGAAGTGTGACGGGAAAAACACCACTTACGGTAGCCGCAATGTGTGGACATGAAGCCATGCTATGTAAGCTCCTGCAGTCAGGTCGTGTGGATGTCAATTCTCAGGATATTTTCGGGAGAACACCCTTATCTTGGGCTGTTTACCCATGTGGTATGTCTCCACGGCCTTCTGGACAAGACTTTCCGTCAATGTTCAGCAGGAAATGGCAGTACCTGGCAGACAGATCATCCCCGCATCGTGCAGTTCCGTTGCTGCTGGATTGCCCGATAATAGATGCCAGCATTCCAGATTCCTTTGGCCATCCAGCCTGGTGGTGGGCCCAAGCTTGGAGGATTGATACCCCCGCAGCCGTGGAATGGATTAAAGAGGAAGACAAAAAGGTCATGCAGTTGCTCATAGATCATCTGTCGAAAAAGAACAAGTCCAATGATAACGCAGTTCTGCCACTAGATAGGGAAACGTTGGAGCGCGAAATCCAGGTTGTTGCAGCGTCCTATACACCATATGATTATTGAAGGCGCCAGTGAGACATCTGACCCATTGATGTTTTGTTCAACAGTTCATCTATAGACAAGGTCCATCTATCAAGGCTCATGGTGCACTCCCCTTCTCGGCTGATATGGACGTGGTGCGGTGGCAAAGCTACATCTCTTCTCGTGTACATAATTACATTCAAGCAATAAAAAAATACGATTATCACGCTCACAGTAAGAGCCTAACGGGCTCAGCTCATATACTTCCTGTTACGCGTCAAAGTGGAACATGAGTTCCTTTCCAAAGGCATCCTTAGCTCGGGCTTGCAGGAGACAGGAGACCATCATCTTCGCGCATGACCCATACTACAATCTAATAATACCAAATACCTATATACTAATCTCAATTCCATTCTATACCATCTTTTTTGGTCATCTTCAAGCCTTGTAGGCAAGCTATCGGCTTTTCGCATTCGTATCCTTACGCAACAGACTGGCCGTGAAAGCTGCATACACAGCCGTCAGAGCATGCAGAATACAGTCATATTTCACACTGATGACTGTTTATCACGAACCAGTCTATGCATCATCTCTTCTCTCCAGCCCCAGCCCAGAGCAAAGGTGGCCCCAGGCCCAAGAGTAACTGAGGTCCCCACCAATCCCCCAACGGCCTCCAACCAAGAGAACGAGGCACCAGCATCTTTCAATTCGTTGAACTTCAACGCGAGCCATATAAATCCACTGGCCATGGATATCACTTCATCATACTGGAGGAACCTCGCAATGCCATCAGCAAATGAGGTGACGGGCGTCAAGTGGCCTCTCAGCCCAGGAAGAAAGGCACTAGCGAACGAAGTATGAGCCGGTGCAGTGCATCGAGCCCGGAGAAACGTAAGTCCAGAGATCAAGGCGAACGTGCCATATGCGTACCGGACGTAACGTATATCCTCCTTACGTTCTTCTTTCTGTTGTGGCTTCTTCTTACTCCCGAAAGCTCTCTTGACCAGACGATGCAAGGGAGCCTGTAGCAGAGGTACGACGACAGGAAACAATTGCCAAATGGCATTGTAGTTGCGGCGCGATTCAACCGTTGGAGTTACGAAGTTTGCGAATGTGGGGAGATAGTATCCCGTTAGCATGGCGATCAGCAAAGAGCTCGAGGCCTCCTGCGTTATCTGATGCTTTGCCCCCGGTAGAAGGCTTGAAAGGGGCGAGCGGATATGTTCCAGTGCGTAGTAGATTGGAGCAAATTTTCCAATGCCCTTCAATTGGGACGCGATTCCCGCGGCTATCGGGCTATTTGGTTTTCATTTAGCCTTATTTACTTGTGGAGGGGAGGATTTTCAGGTAGGTGAACTTACAGTATGAGCTCATACCAGGAATGTGCCTTGCGATAACTTTCCAACAGCCATATTCCGTAAATGGGGCCAATGTCGGCCATAAATGATAGCATTTGAGTGCGGGATTGCGGATCAGATCCACTGATAGAAGGCAAGAAACACGTAATTGCAGGCCGAAAGAGCTTGTCCAGGAATGGGATATTATAAAGTGGTCTGGTTAGGCTGAGTGCCTCCCCATTCTCTGCAGACCATATGCCCTCTACAAATAGAGACACCATGAATGGCCCAGTCTGAGTTATCAACGCCCCCATTGCCTTTTGCGCAGCAGCATAACAGGCAACAAGAGGAATGATTGAAAGAGCACGCTTCCATAATACATTATCCCGTTTGAAGACACTGTTGTCATCATCCAGATACGGCATGGTGCATGCTAGCGACTTTGGTGGCAGAGGTAGACCGTCGATCTTTGCTGCTCCAACAATTGTAGCGGACGTTTTATCGACCAAGTATTGACTAAGATATGGAAGAAGATAAAGCCCAATGATCTTTTCTTTGAGACCAGCTAGAGCCTCTATTCTGGTCAAGTCATAAGCTGACTGCGAAATATGTTCAAGCCGTTTCTGGCGGATGTTCTGCCATGCTTGCAGGCACTGGTGGATATCCCGGACATCTGTCCTAGGTTTTGTAGGGCCCTTCAATAATCTAGAGAGGCTGTTTGCAAGCGATGCAGCGCTCTCAATTGCACTGTTGCCCCCCTGGCCCAGATTTGGTGTCATCTATAACCAATATCTTAGTTGAGTCTCTGGTAATGCTTGAGAGATTAGACGCACCTTATGGGCTGAGTCACCAATGCAAACATATCGATCGACACACCAATGCTTATAGACAGCCTCTTCAAGGGGTACAAAAGTTCTGACAATTGCTCTTTTGTTGATTTCAGCAAGCGGTACGTTGGGAGTTATTGGCTTCTGTAGATAGGGGCCAAGATGGCTATCGATCTCATCTTGACTGAATCTTGGAATTTGAGATGCGGGGTAAGTTTGGTCCATTCTAGTGAAGAAAAACCAATAAACGCGCCCTTCTTTGCCGATAATCGTGAGTATGGAATAGCCCTCCGCGAAGGTTCTATGTCCGTGTCCCGGTCTCAGTCCAGGGGTGGCTGAGGATATACCGAATACACAGTTGTACTCGGATGTCATCACTATATTGCATACGAATTAGTAAGGGTCATATGAAGCTTTTGCTTATGTATGGTGGAGTCTTACAGTTCTTCTCCTTCAGGGCTTCATGTTCCATCCCTCGAGACTCCATATACTGCCACATCTGTCGTCTCACTGTGCTCCGTACCCCATCGGCTCCAACAACAAGATCACCCTCATAGACGGATTGATCCGCACAACGGACCATAACCATTTCAGGGGTATGCTCTATCTCAGTCACCTTCTTGTTCACCATAACACGATGTCTTTTGTCTCCGAGGCCCTCGTACAGAATGCTGAGCAGAACTTGGCGATCAAGGAATGCAACCGGATAACCGTGTCTATTGAATCAGACTCGCCGCCAGTGTATGAAATCTGAGGACGACCGGATATATTGGCTTACCTTTCATATATAATTAGGGGAGCAACTGTGTCGGTGATGGGCTTGGCGTCATCGGTCCATGTGAAATTTCTAGTGAGAGGCTCAACTTGACTGAGAACGTCGTCGTAAAGGCCTAGTTGGTCCAGGATGCGTGCACCGTTTGGAAGAATACCAATAGATGCACCAACCTGGGGTGCAATATCCGCATGGGACTCCAGCACAACAAAGTCTATGTTGTTTCGAAGCAGACAGTGAGCGAGTGTAAGCCCGGCGATTGAACCGCCCACAATCACAACGCGGAACCTGGATTCGGAATCTGCCATGATATACTCTATAATTTCAGAGTATCCAGAGATGTCGCCCTAATGTGAATAACAGGCAGTGTGTGAGGGACCGACACGACTACGACGACTGGAGGTGCCATGGTCTTTATGTGTGTCTCCTCGGGTGGTCCCATCTAAAGTTAGTCAGTGTAAATTAGCATGATGGAGAAATCCAGCATGAGTGTTAGCACGCTCCACTTCGGTTACGCAAAGTGTCATGACTACGATTAAACTAAAACCATGGAAAAGGTCGATCAAAGCTCAATGTAGTTAGAAGGTAAAGGAGCATTTAGGTCCGTTCCTTCATGAAACGCAGTGGGTCCTATTCTCGAGCCGAGAAACCCGAGAAATCCGAAAACGCAACTTACAAGAAACCCGATGGTCCCAAGTCCACCTATACTCCTTTTTCTCCAGGAAGCTGTTGTTTTCGATTGTTTGTTATGGTTTCCATCATGACAGCCTCGCATACCCCAATCTCCACAACGAGAGATCGGAAACGTCGCGAACAGAAGCCCCGCGTTCTGTTGTCATGCAGGTTGTGCAGGGAGAGAAAGTATGTATTGATGATATAACCAAATGACGATTGATCTCTTTGCTTCTGTTTAACAATGCATAACATCTTCAAAGGCTGAGATGCAGTCGGGAACGCCCCTGCACAAACTGTCGGAAACGAGGCCAGGATGCAGCCTGTCAATACAATACCGAGCGTTCGAACGCCCGGACATCGGGAAAGCCAGAACCTACCGACGTCCACAATGAATTGCAATTCTTAAAGGAAAGATTGCTCTTCTTAGAAAGGCAGGTCACGCGGGATTGCAACTCTTCTTCCACGTCTCGGGATGATAGGCTCCATGTTGGCGAAAGTCCCAGCAGAGATTCTAGCGAAAGTGAGATAGCTTCGGCCGCATCACAAGTTCCCACAGGAAGAAGTTCCTTAACTGGTTGCTTCCTCACTGGGGAAAGTGGAACTCGATTCGTTAATCCAAGTCACTGGCAGGCAATCATGAACGATGCGGTGAGTCACACCAGCGATGTTCGGTCCTGCCTCTAGGAGGGGTTTTTCATCATGACATGTCATAACGTAGATGTCAGGCCCAGAAGCTCAACCGAAAAGATTACAACGATAATGATGGCCAAGACACTGATAGGATCTCCCGGCCGGAAGGTCCAGTCCTGCTACTGGGAATCTCACAGATGATGGACATGGCAGAGCTTTTAAATGCACTACCGCCTCGCGAAACTGCAGATATGCTCGTCGATCGCTGTCTGAACTCCAGGGAACCATCGCTAAGTACGTACTCAAACCCTTACAGTCTTACATACATCCTTGAACTACCTCGAGAAGGATCTAACAAGTTCTACAGTCATCATTCACGCTCCGACGTTCAAAAGCGAAGTACATTCCATCAATAACTGAGCTATAATATAATGATCTAACGCAGGTTTTCAACAGTACCGGAGATTCTGGGATAACCCCGCCGGAGCACCGGTCGCTTGGATCGCACTATTGTATTCAACCCTCTCTTGTGGGATATACATTCATCATACGGGAGATCCGAAAATGTCCTCGTTAGACTTGCCTAGAGCATTCTACGTGTACCGTAATAATGGTGCAGTTGCGTTGGCGAAGTCAAATTTCGCTACTCCGGGCCTTTATAAAGTTGAAGCATCCATCTTATACCTCGGCATCGAGTACCTCCAAAGCAACGACTATAAAACAGGACTCCCAATGTTGTTCAGCATTGTGTCGCGACTAGCAATCATGATGGGATATCATCGGGATCCTCAGCTCTACCAT